CCCTGACCCCGGGGAACCCGACCCGAGACCCCGCCCCTGACCTGGGAGGCCCCCACCGCACCCCCCTGGCCCTGGGAGACCGGCCCCGCCCCTCCCCCAGGACCCCCTGTACGGCGCCTGGCAGCGCCGGGTGGACTGGCTGGCCGCCGCCATCGGGATGCCTGCGGAGCGGAGGTACCACAGCGTCCTGTTCGGAGGTGAGGCCCGGCCGCCCCCCTCCCCGCCTCTGTCCGTCTGTCCCTCAGCCGCCTCTGTCTGTCCCCGGGTTCTTGCGTGGCAGGCCCGTGTCCCCAGGGGCCCCGCTGCCCCCCAGGCTGGCCCTGAGCGCTGGATGCCACGGCCGACCCCGACCTCCACCTCTCTCAGGTGTCCTAGGCTCAGGCTTCTCCCTCCTGCAGTTCCTGTCCGCGCCCCTCACCGGGGCGGCCTCCGACTGCCTGGGGCGGCGGCCGGTGATGCTACTGTCCCTGGTGAGCCTCGGGCCTCTGCGGGCTGGGGGGGAGAAGCGACCCCCGGGCTGTGGTCCGGCTCCTCGAGGCCGGGCAGCGCTCACACCACTCCCGACCCCTCCCTCTCCTCTGGCAGATGGGGTTAGCCGCCTCCTATGCTGTGTGGGCTGCTTCCCGAAGCTTCCTGGCCTTCCTGGCCTCCAGAGTGATTGGAGGCCTCAGCAAAGGGAATGTCAGCCTCTCCACAGCCATCGTTGCTGACCTGGCCTTGCCTTCTGCCCGCAGCCAAGGCATGGTGAGCGCTCAAGACTAGGCCAGGAGCCTGGGCCTGGGCCTGGGCCTCTGCCCAGCACAGACGGCTTTCTTCTCAGGCAGTCATCGGGGTGGCCTTTTCCCTGGCCTTCACACTGGGCCCCATGCTTGGGGCCTCCTTGTCGGTGGAGATGGTGCCCTGGCTCAGCCTGCTCTTCGCCCTCTCAGACCTGCTGTTCATCTTCTGCTTCTTGCCGGAGACTCTGCCTCCAGAGAAGCGGGTAGGGCCAGACCCAAGGCCTGGGGACTTGGGTCCCTGGGCATGAAGGGGCGTCCCAAGTGCCCAGCGCGGCTGACCTACCCCCTCCTGCTCTCCAGAGGCTGTGGAGCCCCCAATTCCTCCCTGTGTCCCCAAGGTCTCTGCCCCAGGGCTTGGCAGGTAGAGGAGGCCTGGCCGGCTGGCGGCCTACCTTGTGCAGGGCCCTCTGAAGCTGCCAGACCACCGCCCAGGCCTCCCACTCCCTCCCACAGGCCCCCTCTGTCGCCCTGGGCTTCCGCGCCGCGGCCAACCTGCTCAGCCCCCTGGCCCTGCTCCGCTTTTCAGCGGTCGCACACGGCCAGGCTGCGCTCCCTGGAAATAGTAAGGAGCCTTGCCTGCGGCCCGCAGCCCGCAGCACCACGCCCCTGGCCACCCACACCACCCAAGCCCCCTGTGTTTCCCGTCCCCGCAGAACTCAGCAGCCTGCGCCAGCTGGGCCTGGTCTACTTCCTGTACCTCTTCCTGTTCTCGGGTCTGGAGTACACGCTGAGCTTCCTGGCTCACCAGCGTTTCCAGTTCAGCAGGTGAGTCCATGCGGGGAGGCCCTGTCTGGGACCTGCCCCCCCCCCCGTCCCCCCCTCGCCCACCTGGGTGGCCCACAGGCCAGACCCTGACCCTCCACCTCCCAGCCTGCAGCAGGGCAAGATGTTTTTCTTCATCGGCCTCACCATGGCCGTCATACAGGGTGGCTATGCCCGGCGCATCAGCCCCGGCGGCGAAGTTGGAGCTGTGAAGCGGGTAGGGGTCCCTCCACTGTGGGGACGGGGTACCCGGGCTCATGGCAGGCCGCAGGGTTGGTCTTGAGGCCGTGTGCCCGCTGCAGGCCTTGTTGCTGCTGGTGCCAGCCTTCCTCCTCATCGGCTGGGGGCGCTCGCTGCCCGTGCTGGGCCTCGGGCTGCTGCTGTACTCATTTGGTGAGTGGCCAGGGCTGTGGGGATCCCTCCAGGCCTCTCCCCATGTTGACGGTGACCCCCCTGTTCCCTTCCAGCTGCCGCAGTGGTGGTGCCCTGCCTGTCCTCCGTGGTTGCCAGCTACGGTAAGCGCCCTTCTGAGTGGGGCCATGGGGGGGGGGCCCGTGTCCCTGACGCGTCCATCCCCACAGGCTCAGCAGGGCAGAAGGGCACTGTTATGGGCACGCTGCGGAGCCTGGGAGCCCTGGCCAGGGCAGCGGGGCCCATGGTGGCTGCTTCAGGTGAGGCTCTTTGGGCTTCTCTCTGGGCTGTCTGCTCTGCACACAGACACATACACACACCACCACCACCCGCCCGGCCCACCCGCTCCCAGGCCCACGTGGACGCTGCTCTCCACTGTCTCTCCACAGTGTACTGGCTGGCTGGGGCCCAGGTCTGCTTCTCCCTGTGCTCCGGGCTCTTCCTCCTCCCCTTCCTCCTCCTGCGGAGGGTGAAGCTTCCCGCACAGATGCCCAAGGCCCAGTAGCCAAACCCCACGCCTGCCCAGCAGGGCACTGGGTGCCAGGACCACTCCAGCCGCCGCCGCTGTCGCCGCCTTCTTCTGCGCCCACGGCCCCGGCCACTGCGGAGCCTCCACAGTTCTGTTCCTTGCCAGGGCCACGGTCTGTGTGTCTGAAGAACCAATAAAGCAGCTGTTTTGTACCAGTGCCTCTTCCAGGGTCCCAGGGTGGCGAGTGGGTGCCTCACCCCTGCCCAAGGAGAGTAAGCTAGAGCGGACAGCCGAGCCTCCCGCACTCCCAAGCTGGGTGCTGTGGCGAGCAGGGGTGAGGCGCAGGCCTCGGACGGCCGGGCCGTCCTGGTGAGGGGTGCAGCCACACTCCGCCGTCCTTGTCACGAATGCCGGCCCGTCTGCACGGGGTGGAAGTGACGTGGGAATCTGCTCAGACTCGGGGACGGGTGCCTCCCTCTGCACCCTGCCCGGCAGCAGGCTCCTGGGAAGACTTGGATAGAGTGTGGTGGTAGCGGGGCTGCCACCGGTGACACTTTGGGGGTAGGGGTGTGGCTCAGTGGCAGAGTGCTCACCTAGCGTGCGGGAAGCCCTGGGCTCCATTTCTCATTACCATATCCACCAAAAGAGCCAGAAGTGGGCTGGGAAGGTAGCCTAGGGGTAGAGTGCTTGGCTAGCATGCATGAAGCCCTGGGTTCAATTCCTCAGGATCACATACACAGAAAAAGCCAGAAATGGTGCTGTGGCTCCAGTGGTAGAGTGCTAGCCTTGAGCAAAAGAAGCTCAAGGACAGGCCCTGAGTTCAAGCCCCAGGACTGGCAAAAAGAAGCACTTGGGAATTCTAAGAAAATGTGAGTCTACGGCCATACCACCCTGAACGTGCCTGATCTCGTTTAAGAAAATGTGAGACAGACGTTCAGAAAAAACCTTAGAGAGCTGGGTGCCAGTGTCTCACGCCTGTCATCCTAGCTACTCAGGAGGCTGAGATCTAAGGATCACAGTTCAAAGCCAGCCCACGCAAAAAAGTCTGTGACTCATCTCCAGTGAACCACCAGAAAACCTGAAGTGGTGCTGTGGCTTAGCTTGAGCTGAAGAGCTCAGCAACAGCGCCCAGGCCCCGAGTTCAAGCCCCATGACTCACAGAAAAGAAACCTTGAAGAGAACAAAACACTAAACCACTTCTGAGATTTAGACAAGGAAGTTGCTTAAAGATCTTTATTTGTGAGTAAAACATGTTACAGAGGAGAGGAGGAGTGGAGCTGTCCCCAAGTCTGTTGTGGACGCAACTCTACTCCCTGTTGTGATACAAAGAATTAGACTACAAAAGTGAAAATCAAAGTCATTGCATATGTGGGCAGAGGGAGGGCGGGGGAGGGGCGAGAAGTCCTGCAGGAGGAAGACCTTCATTCCTGGCGGCGCAGCTGTGCGGCTGCCCGGGGCCTTCCTGCTGGCATGGCCGGTGGGATGCCAGCACCCAGGACTCAGCTCTACGGGGGCCTCTCGTGTGGGGTGTGGGGTGTGGGGTGTGGGGGTCCCATCAGGTTCCTCCACTTCTGAACTGGTCTCCCTGGCGAGCAGCTTCAAACCTGAATGCGAGTGGATGAGAGTCCCCAGCAGCCGCAGGGGGTCCCGGGGCGGGGCAGGCTTCCCCTTCCAGCCGCCTTTGACTGAAACCAGGGTGCCTCTAGGCTCGGGTAGGGGGAGACTAGATTTCAGCTGAGCGCCAAACCCTTCCCCAAATAGGAGAGCCTTCTGGGCCGCATGTGCCGCAGACTGCGGGAAGAACGCGACTGTGGCCTGTTGAGGCACAGGGGTAACATGCTCACCGGCGGGCGAGCATGCCGAGTCACGTGAGGTGAGGTGAGGGTCGGGTCGGGTCGGGTCGGGTCGGGTCTGCCCTGCCCTGCCCGGATTCAGAGGCCCCAGTCTGGCAGACTGAGCTCCTGGGTCCGGTGTGAGTTGTGGGGTCACCCGCAGGACCATGCATAGCGTTGTGTGGGTCATGCCAGCCCACGTGTTGTGGGGCTTCCTGTCCTGAACCCACCCCTTCACAGCAGCGGGGTGCCCCGTGCCATGGGTGGGCACAAGTGACCCCAGGATTGGGACTTGGTGTAGGGGCCCAGGAGACCACTGAGCAGAAGCCACGGCTGGTGCCACCACCACACACAGCCAAGCGGAGATGAACGGCATTCACGACAGCGACAGCGACAGCGAGGAGGGGTCACAGCAGGCGCTGCCGTAACCAGGGCCAGTCCAGGACCAGGCTTCAGCACGGCCACCCGTGTGCAGGAGGAGCAGAGGACAGGCCAGGGCCGGGGCGCGTGCCGACAGCAGGGAGTCAGGCGTGGGTGCGTGGGGGAGGGGGCCTGGCCTTCGCATTCTCTGACAGGAGAGGCAGGCAGGCGACCGGCTGGGCGGCGGACGGCCCCTCAGCAGTCGGCCTTCTTCTTGCTCTTCTTCAGGAAGGAAGGCGTGCGGAACTTCTTCTTCTTCTTGGATGGGGACTTGCCCGGGGAGCCGTCGCTGCCCGGGTCCGCTGCAGGCCCCTCCTCGGCCTCTGGGGCTGGGGCTGGCTCGGCGCTGGGCTCGGCGGGGACGGGGGCAGGGGGGCCCTGGGCTTCCTCCTCGGCTGCCGGGAAGCCCAGCGCTTCCGAAGGCTCATCAGGGGACAGGTCGGGGAGGGTGGGCTTGAAGGTGGCCGTGTCGCTGTCGTCCCCGCAGGCAGGCTCCTGTGGGAGATCTGGGGGGTGGGGGACAGGTGAGGGGTCTGCGCCATCTGGGGGGCCACCTGAGGGCATTTTATCCTAGTCTATGGGTTCTCCCAAGACCAAGCTGAGACGGTGTCTGCACGGCCTCAGGCCGGGCTGGGCCGGCCAGCCTTTGCATGAATGGGGACAAAGCAGACGGCGTCGGGGCGCGGGCGCAGGGCCAGCAGCGCGGCGGGGATGGGTGAAGCTGCTCGGTGCGAGCAGTCCCCAGACCGACAGCCGCCTCCCTCTGCAGCAGCAGAAAAAGTCTGGGACCCCGTGTGTAGCGTGGACAGCCAACCAGGTGAGGTCATTTCATCTGGGTGGCAACAGATTGAAGAGGCAAGGAGCAGACGGCAAGCCACGTTCACAGGTGAACTGCAACGTGAGAAGGCGCAGGGCTGCGCGCGGCCTGCTGACAAGGCGCAGGGGCTGCGTCGCCTGTCCTGACCAGAAGGGCGGCGCCCCGCGCAGCTGGCTATCAGGCAACGCCAGATACTTCTTCAAGACCAAGCCACACGCGAGGTCAGGGAGCAGCTGCGCCGCGCAGGGTTCGGGAGCCGCGCTCAGTGCGTCAGCTTCGGGAGGCTGGAGGCTCCCAGGGACACCCAACGCGGGCAGGAGGGCCGAGGGCACACAGGCGCCTGCCCACCCCAGCACATCGGCCCCTCTGCCAAGCTGGCTGCCGTGAACGTCCGAGAGAGCGGCCGCCTGCGCGGGCTCAGTAGAATGGCACCTGGCCAAGTGTCCCGCTCCATACACAGTAGCAGGCGGGGCTCCAAGGCCACCCCAGCCTGCGCCGTCAGAGCCCGGCCACTCACTCCCCGCCTCGGGCAATCAGAGGGGAGCCCCACGGCTGAGCAGAAGAACTGCCCACAGCCCAGAGTGCGCTGGGACGCTCTGGAGGGGGGGTGGGGAGGGCAAGCGCCGGGGCTGAGCACGACCAGGAACCCCCATTTTGATGTGAAGTCACAGAACACAAAACTTAGTACTTTTAGCAACAAAGAAGCGGGCGGAGCGCAGGCCGCGGCGGGAGGGGGAGCGGGCGCCGTGGAGCGGGCAGCGGGCAGCGCGGGCGCCGTGGAGCGGGCAGCGGGCAGCGGGCAGCGGGGGCGCGGTACTTACTAGGGCAAGAGGTATTCTTTAGCACATCCGGCTCCTGCTGTGAGGCGGCCACAAGAGAGAAAAGCACAAGTAGAGAATCTATGCATTCAGTCACAGCCATCAGGGTACACAAGAAAAGGCCGAGCCATTCTGGGAGGACACAGAATGGGGAGGGAGCCGCGGGCTTCCCAGGAGACATGAACGGACCAGACCGACGGACAGACCACAGACAGATGGTGCAGAGAGGCGCGGGGCACACAGCGCTCAGTAGACGGGGGTGCACACAGAGGGCACCACGGGTGCAAGCGGAGGGCACAGCGGACACCATGAATGACACGGGCCCCGCAGGGCACCAGCCCTCAGGAGTCCGGAGTGCGTGAGGACCACCGCCCGGCCCCCGCACCCGCACCCTGGAGGCCGTGCACCCTCCCTCTCGGAGGCTGCTGCGCACCACTCCCAGAGCTCACCTTCCTCAAGCTTCACGGGGGTGCTGGGGGGAGTGTGGGGGACAGCGGGCTGGTCTGGAAGACTCTTGTCTTTCTGTTCTCTCGTCTCACTGAGATTCTCTGTGAATGCACACAAAGTAAGACGGTCAGGGTGCGGAGCTGGAGACCCCTGCGCGCCTCCGGTCCTGAGCAGGAGCCTGGCCGAGAAGGCTCCAGGCAGGGCCGCCACTGCCGCGCCTCCTCCCAGACAACTGCAGCCGCAGATGCACCCAGCCCCCACCCACGTTCCAGAAAAGCCAACCCTGCAAACCAAGTCTGACTCCACTCGAGTAGAACTGCCTGGTGCCCTGGCACAGATGGGCGGCTGCAGCCGCAGCTCATCACCCGCAGAAGCTCACGTCAGTGCTGGGGCTTAGCTTCTCCTACAGGGCATTTCCTATCAACAGTTTAAACTGGCAACTACAATGATGTGACACACACTGGTGAGTACCAGAGGCAAACACACAGGAACTAGAACCGAAACCCTGAAAGACATTACACGCTCGCTCTCTCTCTCTCTCTCTCTCACACACACACACGTATATATGTGTGCATATTCACTCACACACATGCATATATGTGTGCATATACACACACACACACACACACACATATATATATACTAACTTTTTAAAAATCTATTTTTAACTTTTTATTATAAAGGTGATGTCCAGCTGGGCGCTGGTGGCTCACGCCTGTCATCCTAGCTACTCAGGAGGCTGAGATCTGAGGATCGCGGTTCAAAGGTAGCCTCGGTAGGAAAGCCCATGAGATTCTTATCTCCAATTAACCACCAGGAAACTGGAAGTGGTGCTGTGGCTCAAGTGGTAGAGCACTAGTCTTGAGCTGAAGACTCAGACCCAGAGTTCAAGCTCCATGACCAACAACAAAAAGAAAAAGTAAAAGGAAGGTGATGTACAGAGGGGTTACAGTTATGCAAGCCATAAACTACTTGCATTTGCAGATTTTGGATTAGCAGCTTAGGATCTCCAGGGCCCCATATTCTGAACAATACCACCACTTTGCTAAACTCATCAGGGCCTCTCCCAGGCAAGGATGGATTCCTAAGCTGGCTGCAAACCCCAAGAAGCTACTAAGACAAAGCCACAGGCCCCCAGGAGCACATAGCAGCCTCAACCAGCACAAGGAGCTGACTTTTGAAAGGTAGCCTGAGTTCTTTTTTTTGTTCTGAGACTGGAACTTGAACTCAGTATGGGACGCTTCCTCCCACTGGCTGGTGCTCTAGCACCTGAGCCACGCCTCTAATGCCAGTAACCAAGTTCCTCTTGCAATGCACTATGCTAAGCACACTGCCAAGGACTGGGGACCATGCAGGGGGGCCAGGCCCCGCCTGCAAGCACAGCCCATTGTGGGTAAATGCTGCACCTGATGCAGAAGAGCAGCCCAGAGCTCAAGCCAGCGCCCCAGGTCCTCAGGGCTACACCACAAAGACAGGTGGCAAAAAAGTACCGTGCACGATGGAAAATGAGTCACATTTCAACAGCACTTACGTCATCAGCTTGAGCTAAAATGACACTAGAAGAGTCAAGTGTAGAGCAAACCTACGGTTGTCCAAATCTAAGCTGGTCACACACAACCATGCTCCCACTTTCTGCCCAGCTTCCTCCACGGCGAGGGAGGGAACAGACCCATTTCTCAGGACTGACTGCAGCCTGAGGTAAGGACAGGGATGCTAATGTATCACAAGAGGCAAGGAGACCTCCTCTCTATAAACCCAGACAGACAGCATCCCGTAATGACCCAACTTGGTGACGTCTGTGAGTTAAGAATGCAGACTGCACCCCTGGAGCTCTCTGGACCTGTCCACCGGCTCCTGGCCAGTAGGGCGTCCCAGGCTCAGTCCCCGCACGGGCTCCACGGTCTCACGGCGTGCACACCGGTGCCGAGCGTTACTGCAGACCTCCAAGGCTGCACACTGCACATGTCCCGCCAGCTGACAGCGCCGCTCCTTCAGGCTGACACGGAACACCACTCAACCCCACTCACTCCCAGCCAAACACGAGGCCGCTGCCGCACGTGTGACTCTCCTCACACAGATCCAGCTGCGCAGCGCCCAGACCCGGGAGCACTCACCCTCCGAGCCCTTCGCCCAGACCCGGGAGCACTCACCCTCCGAGCCCTTGGCCCAGACCCGGGAGCACTCACCCTCCGAGCCCTTGGCCCAGACCCGGGAGCACTCACCCTCCGAGCCCTTCGCCCAGACCCGGGAGCACTCACCCTCCGAGCCCTTGGCCCAGACCCGGGAGCACTCACCCTCCGAGCCCTTCTGCTTGCGCTCCACCTCGCGGCGGTACTCCTCCAGCTCACGGTCGGTGAGTGCGTTGAAGGGGTTGGGGCCCGTGGTGCTCACAATGACGTGAGGCTGGTACTCCTTCTCAATGATGGCTTTGGAGGCGGTCACCAGCTCCCCCTGCGGGCGAAGAGGAGGCGCTGTGTGCAGGAGCCGGCCAGCCAGGCTCTCCCCACTCCCAAGGGGGCTGCAGGCAGGGGGAAGCAGGTAGACACCGGGGACTGTGCCACTGGGCCCTGGCTAGGCCACACGAAGCACGGCTGTGCGTGTGGAAACGTGGTTTCTATACACACAGGACTCAAAAAGAATGCCTACTGCACTACCCGCCAGGTCTCACACGCGCGGACCCCGCCCAGGGGTGCCCACCCCCTCCATTACTAGGGCAGCCCCCTTCCCTAGAGACTGCCAGGTCACACAAGCAGAGGCACTGTGTTCGAGGGCAGCTGCCGACAGCGAAGGGTCTCAAACATGAGGCTTGCGGAAGGAGTGAAAGACTGAGAGTTCGGATCAAAGAAAAAAGCAAGCGCGCAGCGTAAGGCGGCGGCGGCTGGCAGGCTGCTCTCGAGCAGGAGCACGCCGCAGAGGACTGCCGCTGCCGCCGCCGCCGCCGCCGCGGTGGACGTGGCGCCTGGCCACGGGGGCAGCCTCGGGCCACCGCCTCCCGCTGCGCTGAGCCACTTGGCCAGCCAGGACAGCACGGGAAGGTGCCCACGACGCCCTGGACGCGCACCCATGCGCACGCCACTTCACGGCGGTTGAAGAAACTGTTTAGACGCGGCTTGCACCTCTGTGCGTGTCTTAGGAGGTGAACCCCAAAGGGAGGCCGCGTCCAGCAGCGGGGTTCCTCGGACAATCAGCCGCACGGGCCGCTCCTGTTGACGCAGGGGCTGCACTCGGGGCTGGACTGAGTGACAGGGCCCAGGCCTGCTGAGCACTAACGTCTGGCACCCCGGGCCGAGTGCTCGCGAGGGCCTGCTGGAACCCAGGCTCTGGAGTCTGGAGACTTGGGGCCAAGCAGAGTCTGGGCTCTCCTGGCCTGGACTGAGGTCGCTGCCTTCTATTTCAGAGCAGTTGCTGCAGCAACACAGCAAACTGAATGTCCATCTGCTGCTCGCGATCCCGGCCAGGAAGGAACAAGCCCATCCCTGCCGCACACAGGCCGCAGCTCACCACCGGCAACAGGGCATCCGTCAAGACCCCTGGGGAGCAGGACCGAGCTGAGGGCCACAGGCAGTGGCCACACCAGGCGCTCTGAGGCCCAACAGCACATTTAACCTCCCGTTAAAGCCAGCAACTACCCATCATTTACTGTCATGAGGGAGCAAAGCCCTGTCCCAAGTGAGACAAGGTCTGACTACACAGCATAGGCTGACCTAGAACTCACGATACTCATATCAGGCCCAGGCCTGATGCTCCCGGGAGGAGAGGACCGGTGTCCTCTGGGACGGCTGCCCCTCCCGGCAGCCAGAGGCCGCACACGCGCTCTCCACGCCTCAGCCCAAGCCAGCTTCAAAGCAGACCCACCATGGGTAAGGCCAGCATGGAGACCTTCGCATTTGGGGAAGGACCGAGCGACACTTGAGACACCAAGGCACAGATGTGTGTGCGGCTGAGGAGCCAGGATATGGGCCCACCTGCCCCCGAGCTGCTCCGTGCTGCCTCTCTCCTGTCTGGTCCCCTCACCAGACCTGAAGCAAAACAGAGGCCCAGGAACGCTTTCTATACTTCACTGAGCTAGCTTGGGTAAAGCGACTGCTCCGCCACCAGAGCGCTGCACACCTGGGCTGGTAAGCAAACCTCTCTGAGCATCTACATCTGTAAATCGGCTCCCATGTGGTATCTGACATTCCTCGTGAACGAGACAGAGGCGGAGCTCTGCTCCTCTGACTCCTGACCCACAGCCGAGGGCCTGGAGAGGTCTGCCTGGCACAAGGACCACTCGATCCTCCCTGGCACAGACTTCACGCCTGCATCTCTCACCACTTGATCCACCTGGAAGAAATCCAGAAGGTGGAGGGAGTGTCTTGAAGATTCATGTTGGGAAAAGCAACTTTCCTTTCTGAACTGATACCTCCTCGTGCCTTCTGCAGTCAGTGACCCCAGCTGGGGGAAGGGCCATCAACAGTAAGGGAGAAGCCGGGCGCCGGGGGCCACGCCTGTCACCCTAGCTACTCAGGAGACTGAGATCTGAGGATCACAGCTCAAAGCCAGCCCCAGGCAGGAAAGTCTGTAAGACTCTGATCTCTAAGGCACCACCAGAAAACTGGAAGTGGCGCTGTGGCTCAAGTGGTAGAGCGCTCGCCTTGGTAGAGTGCCCAGGCACAGAGTTCAAAGAGTAAAGGAGAAACCCAAGGCAAAAGAAGTCCCCTCCAGAAAGCACCACTTCCTAAGTCCTGAATGCCGGTCCTTGCACTCTGGGATGGGAGCACTCCCCACAGCCCTCCTGCTCTACTCAGAGGAAACCCACTGGCTAATAAGCGCTCATGCTCCCAAGGGAGCAACAGAGAGAAAGGAAGAGAAGGAAGAGGAAGAAGAGGAAGAGGAAGGGCGTCCAGGAAGTTAAAGCATATCCTTGCCGAAAAATGAAACACGCACGGTCGGTGCAGGGTAGATGTAAGCACAAATGTGAGATTCCCATCTAGTAATCTGCAACTGGAGCTCGTCCCGAGCATGCCGCTCCGCAGTGAGCACGCACCTGGCACGCAGCACCACACGCAACGAGGACTCAGGCCAGCAAGTCGCCAGAAATTCAGTAGGATGATGTGCGGGGCTAGTTAACCCACAAGAGCGTGGTATCCTATCTGAGGGGACCCTACATCTTTTTATTGGGAGCACACCAGGTCTACACAACAAAGCTGTCCCTGAGTAATTGACCAGCCAAAAACACCTCCTTTAATACAGCAGCCTGGCTGCTTTATGATCAACCCTAACAAGACACAAACAGGATCCAATACACGCACTACAACACCAGAAAGAAGGGGCAGCAATGACCGTGATTCTGTCAGCCACAAGACTGCCCCAGACCAGCTCTGCTGCACACAACCACTGAGGCGGAGGGTCCACAGCACCAACACGAAAGACGAGCTGGCAGGAATCCCTTCACGAGTGGTGACGGGAAGCAAATTCTAAGGACATGGAAAAATGAGACCCACCAAATGAACAGCTAAATAGCCAAGTAATGCTATTACAGAGAACCTCGGCCGCCCCTGCTCCCGCTGGGCAATTAGAACACCACTACAGACGCCGCGTCCCACTGAGGGCGCGGGGCCCTTGGAGCAGAGGGCCAACAGCCAGCACTCTGAACCACGCGGCAGACACCTCCCCTCGTGGGCGCTGCTCCCAGAAACACTTCCCACCAACTGGACATGCTGGGTGTGCATCTCCACAGAGGAGTCACACGTCCTCAAAAGTGTCCCTCTCCTCTGAGACCTTCAACCATATTCTGAGACAGTGTCTACGTACACAGCTTGGCTGACCTCTAACTCATGACCCGACCTTCACAAAGCCAGGGGGCTCTGATCTCCCAGTGCTGAGCTAGCTTCTACCGGAAGGCTGTACAATGACTCAGCCTCCCACTGCGAGGTCACGTGAGAGGAAGAGGTGGTGTGGGCTCCGCTGCCACTGGCATCTAGTGGAAAGTCAACTCGGAAACCCAAAGGCACGCACCAACCATGTCACGTCACACGCGGACTTGAGAAATGACGGCTCTCGGAGTGCCCATTTCTCACTGGTTTATAAGGCTGAAAAAGGTGACAGCATGTCATCCTAAAGAATAGTCAGAACCTTTGACAACCTTCCAGAAGGCTTCAAGGTTCCTTTGCAGCTTTCGGTAACTGGGCCCACTGCTGACGAGGGAGGCAGGTGAGGGGCGCGCCGCAAACCACAGGGAGGAGGGGCAGGGCAGTGAGTACCTTTCTAACAGACAGAGATCTAGCGGGACTAAAGGTCTGCTCTGTGAGCTCGAGCCCTTCGATAGTTTCCGTACAGTCAGAGAGGGGTGCGTCCTGCAACAGTAAACTGAGTCATCAGAGCACACCAGGCTCAGCCTTAGATACCACCCGAGAGCGCGGGAGGAAGCCGGCTGGGCGCATGCAGCAGGACGACAGGCGTGCAGACACCAAACACAAAACTGGGACCCCAGCAGGGCCAAACTCACGGCCATCTACCCCTGCATCCCTACGCATCAGGTAGAGACAGCGTCTTACACAGTCGCTTAACAAAATGCATATGAATGTGAACTGCATTCACAGCGCCCACCCCTCCACCCAAGCAGCACTTGGTTGCAGACAGGAGTCTGGGCCCCATCCAAGGTTCTTCAACCCACCCTGTGCTAGCATGTACCAAGGCCCCTGCTGACACCAGGACCCAGCCCCAAAGCTGGAGGCCTTCCACCCCTTCGCCCCTCACGAAGGCATGCACTACAAGGAGCAGAGCTGGAGGGTGGACGCGCCCCACATGCTTAGGCTCAGTGGAGAACTCAGAGATACCAGCTGGGCTCTTTCTATCAGGAGGATTTTTAACAAAGATAGCTGCTTGACTAGAATACTTACCTCATGGTGTCATTCGCTCCCAAGAGAGGAGCGACTCTGGAGCAGGCGGTCTGAGCCACCACCCACTAATGTCACAGACACTCTGAGCGCTCACCTGGACGAGGCTCCTGTCCATCACCACACCACATAAAACCTGGGACTGAGGACCAGCCGTCTTAATGTCCTGTAAGTTCTGCTCTCGAATCTAAGAAGGGAAAGAGGGGACAAGGGCGTCAGCAGTGCAGAAACCCCTCTTGAGTCCCGCCAGTCCCACTGTGCACACACTCGGGCCTCGAGACACACAGGGCAGAACTGGCGCGGCCCCCATCACTCCCCGCGGCCCCCATCACTCCCCGCGGCCCCCATCACTCCCCGCGGCCCCCATCACTCCCCGCGGCCCCCATCACTCCC